CCGCTTAGTTGGTCTGCCTCCTTGCTCCTTTTGCAGTTGAGATCTCCAGTTACAGCTTGCTGTCGTTGTGCCGCTCTCCTTTTAGTTAAAGAACAGAAGTTTACTATGCTAGTAGCACTCTCAACTCCGGCCTGTGGTTGGCTAAATCCTCACCCAGTGTACACTTAAAGTCATACAAACTTCACGTTGCTGGGATGCTTTGGGATGAAAAATGTGTTGACCCCGATGTCTATACAGGCCGATCCAGTTGATCAGAAGGTGAGTCTACCGAGTCCTGTGAGGTACTTCCAACTACTTTGCCAGAGATGGACAGGCTGTTTTGTTGTAGAAGTGGATGGAGAGTGAGGAAAACATGCAGCTTCTATTTTGGTAATCTGTTGTTTGGTAATAAGTGGTTTGACCGCTTATTTTCAGACTACAACAGCCCCACTGGCCACAAAGCCCAAAAAGAACAGTTGCAAAGGTCCTTGAGCTATCCAGGAACAAAAATATCACATAAGGTAGAGCAATTTATTGGCTGCTATATACATATTCTGTTGCCATATCCTGAATAGTAACTGAACAGTTTGATTTAAGAACATAGGTGTTTAATTTTAAAAGAGTCCTTTCTTTGGCTGGACTTGTAAAGACATATTTTTGCAAATAGAAGTCTTGCCTGCTAATATTATTACTCCTGAGAGATGCCAAACACACACACCCTACATGTCAACTCTTTCTTTTAAACTTGGCCTCAGATTTTAAATGGCATTCTTAAGTATAAACAGTAATAAAGCTCCAGACACAGCAATGTTAAAGATCCATGATCCACATTGTCAGCCTAAAGGGAAATGGGGAAATGACAGACTGAAAGAGAGAAATATTCCAGTAATAAAAGATAAAACAGAATAGACAACAAACAGACTGCAGCACTCCAACTCCTTGTAGAGCTGGATCTGTCATAGCCTATTTCAATAGTATATCGGCACAGGCTTCATCTAGTGCTAACATGCCCTTTGTGTCTCACAAAGTCTGAGAAGAGGAAAAAAAGAAGGAAAAAACCCTTATTTTCTGCTTCAGTACTGTAAGCACAGAAATAATTTTTGAAAAACAATGTTTTAGGGTGCTTGGTGTGGAAAATTCATATCAGAAACAAAACAAATGCATGCCAGAGCAGAGCCCTGTGGAATTACAGTACCCCTCAACCAAGAGAAGAAAATAAAAATGACCCTCCAAATCACTGCAGATAGATACACCACCATTCCAGGTACTCACAGACCACTTGGCACTTCTGCAGAGTGTTTGTGGCGTGTCAGTGATCTGTCAGTCCTAAAGCAATCATGTGTAGTAAAGCTCATCTGTTACGGGTACCTCTCTATGTTGCATGCTAGGCAAACTGCTTTTTCTTCTTGCTAAAAATACTTCCTTTCCCTCTACAAAATGACAAAAAGTATAACTTTACCTGACCTAGTTTTTTGTCCTTATTCATTCTGTGTAAATCTTGCAAAATTGACACCTAATTTCCAAGTGCTGTTGCTTAGCTTCCTAAATTATTAATGAGTGTAATAATTATCCCTTTTCATCATCACATGGCACAGGAAATAGATGCAAAGATTACAATCAATCACCATCATAATGTCTGAACATATTTACAATATCAGAACATCGCCTCTGCCACTTTCAATCAGTAAGCTGTATTACTACACAGATGCATTTTATGCCATGGTCTAATGACATTCAAATATGGGCTCTGCTATTTGGTAAAGAGGACTGATAAACCTGAAAATCTTTCTTTAAGATCACTGTATAGCAAGAACATCTTTGCTATTCTTCACTTACTTGTTAAGGTAGCGTAAAACTTGGAGGCCAGCAGGGCAAGAAGTGCTTTGCTTCCTCATTGAGAGATCAGTACTGCTGAGCTCCAGTGGACACATGTAAAAGGTGTATTCCAGAGACGTTCCAGAGGTGTATTCCCTGGGAACATCCTGCCATCAACACCTTGCCAACAAATACTTCTGCTCCTGACCAGTCCTCACTGAATGTGAATCACGATTAATCAGACAGTTTCTCACCAAAACAGCCTCATATTATAGTAGGCCAATCTAACTGCATCTGGAGAGAGCCAGGATAGAGCACAAAAAGAACAGGAGAGATATGGACCAAAATCAGGGATATCTGATGTGGTCAGTGTATTCAAGAGTGTTGCCAACTCTTCTCCCTGTAGATAAAGGTGGCAGCAGCCTCCAGGAGAAGAGCAGTAACAAGTCACCAGAGAACAGTAAGGACTTCCATGATCACAGCAGTTTGCAATGTGGATACCTTTTCATGGCCTGAACAACGTCAATCAAGGTAACAAAGGCAATTACTGGTCAATGTTAGTACATCTACATCTGCAACATTTTCTGTCACAGCTATATCAGCAGACCTTCACAGTACTATGACTCGGACGCACAATTGCTGCTGGATTTAGCTGTCTCAGCTGAAGATGTTTCTGCTCTCAGAACTGTGAGGCAGTGAGCTATTAGTCACCGTAGCTAAATCCAACAGGGATCATTAAATAGAGCTCCTGACCACCACAATTCACATCTCAGGAAGCTCAGCTCCCTGGTGGTATAAGCTGCTTGCGTAGGTGGTGACCTGTGGCACTTGCAGAGCAGAGAAACAGCCCGCTGTGCTGCCTGTGCTGTGCATGGGCTGCCCTCCAGGAGAGGGGCTATGAGGACAGGTGGGGGCAGGACCCTCTTAAATTGCTACAGCACAAATGGCCAGAGCTCAACTGACTGGGCTCTAGTCTGAACCAGCTGTGGGAAAAGGGCACTTAGCAAAGCACTAAGAAGATAAATCAGAAGGAGGAGGCTAGTTGCTGGTGGAAAACAGGGAACTGGTGCCCAAGTAAGTGGGACAGGGTGAAGAGCAAGTAATGAGTGCCAAGTGGGGTGGACAGCAGCTTTCATCCTCCTGCTGCCCTGTCCATCTGCTTGGAATTTACTTTCAAACCAAGTCCTCTTTTTTTTTTTTTTTAAATGTCTATCCTGGCCCCAATTCCCATCTTGTCCTTTAGGGATCTGGTACTTTCCCTCAAAATCATTTGGTCCAGAAAAGCTGAATTAAGAAACAGAGAAAACTTATTATTTAACACCTAAATTCTTCACTCTCGTAGGTTTCTTTCAGCTGTATTTTGCCTTCATGCAGTCAGGTCAGAGTCTTGTGGCTGACTTATTAGACTCATTTATTAGACTCATTTAAAGATGACAATGATTTCATATGACTGTCTCTAACTGTGTTACAAATTCATCACAGGTCCTGGCTATGTCTGAGATTTAGGTCCAAACAACTGCATACTGTTGGAGACACTGCCCCTCCCCCAAGAAATACATTCACTGACCTCCCCTTCCACGAGAATGGAAATCATTGCTAGAATAAGCTCTCCAAATCAATTTGTAAATAGCCTGATTCACAATTTTTCTCTCCTAAAGAGAAGAGACTTATGAAAGCAGCAGCTTAAACAAAAAAGGCTTTAGCTCCACCCAGTGGTACTCAAAAATTTTCAAAGTGTTCCTCTCCCCATCATCTGCCTGCTGGGTTCCAGGGTCATTTCTGGGTACCTAATACCAAGCAAATATACAGCAGTTTTTTTTTTTCTAAGCTGATGCACTAGAGACCTCTGTTTGCACAGTGCTGTGTTACAGGCCTGAATAGTCTTTCCTTATCAGACTGTGCCTTCAAAAGCTGGTGTTAATCATTACCCTGACATTATCTACATCAGTCTTCACTATCCTCTTTGGTATTTGCAAATTTTGAACGTTTCTCCTCACTCACCAGCTTCCAAATAACCGGATGGCTGGGCATGGCACCACGACCCCTTCTGGACCTCTTCTCTCTCAGCAGTAATTTTGGGGCAGGGGTATGAGCAAGGCGTGGCACTTCTCTTTTCTGTCTGGAATACCAGCATTTTAACCAATTTGTGTGATTTTCCTGATGGGGCACCACTTTCTAACATAACCCTCCAAACTATTTTTTAGAATTGTGGCTTCTTTTAAGGACTAGTTTTTCTTGTCCAAATTTTCAAGCACGACATGGCTCTCTAAAAGAACTTTACCGATTGGCTGACAGGGAGCTGGAGGATGTTAAAACCAGCTCCAGCACTGTTAGTTGGCCAATAATTAAATAGTTCACAATATCTGACCTCATTAATGCTCAGATACACGTAATCAACTCTCAGGCTCTAGGGCATAAACTCATGACACCATCAGCTAAATGCATTATGCTTTTTGGGTGGCATTGAAACATCAGTTTGCGACTCTTTTGGAAGCAGGGTTCTGGATTCCGTGTGTAACTCTGACATGTTACAAAGCTTTATTCAATTTCTTACCACTCTTCCTGTCCCTCCTCTCTGCCCCAGCTGTTCTTTCTTAACCTTTAGAAAGGTGTATCTCATGTTTTACCGCTTTACTGCACCATGTAAGTATTATTATTGCAGCTATATTTACATTTCAAGTGTTGAGCCTGTTGCATTTGTCCGTGAGTTTTGAGATGATAATTAGATGTCGTACCTCATTTTCAGCTAAATAGTTCAAAACATAGGCAAAGTCTGAAATATATTTTAAACCAGTGTGCTTTATGCAAGTTAAACTTTTCTTTTTTCCTGCCTGAAAAACTTCCAAGCCTATTCACCTTATACATTCTCTTGTGCTCTTTATCTCTCACCTCCTTACAGCCTCCCATATTTATTTTAATTTTAATAACATTTTGCGTCACAAAAGTGGTGTGACATTTTTAGCTATCAAGCTATATCACATTCATCAATTAAGGTATTAAAATGATACGTGAACAACACGAAACAAAATTCAGCCAGCATTTCTTCTCCCACACAAAATCTAATTTATGAAATGCATATTTCACAGGGTTTATAGCAGCTATTTTATTTTCCAGCTCATCAGTGATATAACCAGATAAAGCTGGTGTTATATGCAATAACAATTTGTACAATGCATTGAGTAAGGCGTTATTGTTGTATTACTTACTGGAGAAAGGGAAGCAGCCACTTCGCACAGCCTCTAGTGCACATGTATTAATGTCAGTCTGTCGAAAGGCAGGAATGTGGAGACGTGGTGGGTTGTGCAGGCCAGGCAAAATGAGGCTTCCTGAGGGAACGTAAAAGAGATGGTCATGCTCTGGCTGCAGAGCTGGGGAGCCTTCATCCCCACACTCCTTTTGCTGGCAGGAACTGTCACAGAGAAGAGGCAGAATTTCCCTGACTTAAATTCAGCATTTTGTCATCAAAAATACCTCAGAATTTGGCCCCTTGCTAACACACCTTTCTAAGACCAAGGGATTCTGAGACCCCGAGCGCTTTACAATAACACCTGATAGTCAAAGAAACCAACCTTATCTGCCCAGGTAGCCAGACGTCTTCAGCTATTGCATTTGAAATCTGAAGCCCTGCTATTCCACACCATTCAATAGTGTCTCCCATGCTTGCTTGCGTAGAGAGAACATCTTGCTAGACAAGCTTTGATGTCTAACAAACACCTACATTCATACATGCAATAAAGTCAAGAGAGTTAGGTTAAAAGTACCTTTCCTGGGCTATTCAGTACGTCTTCTCTTGAACCACCGCCCCTGCTGAGTGCAATAACCAGCTGCCTGGGTGTGACTCCCAGCACCCAACCAAACCTGGATAACCGGGCAAGTGGCAACAAGAATATTGCTTGGAGGAATATTCCTCCTCACCTATCTAACTGCTCTGTTGCATAATTTAGAGAGGCAGCATTTTCTGAAACAGCCCACCCTAACCTTTCTTTGCAGGTATAATCAGTTGCCCATCAACCCTGGGCGAAAGGAAAAAAAACCAAAGTCATTTCTTGCATATTAATCAAATGTGTTGAGTGTACCATGAGTACAGCTAGCAGCACCCCTGAGGACACATAACCCCCTTTTCCCTTGATTTATCCCCATCTCCCTGCTTTTTGAGTAGTGGTATCGGTGGCTTAGGAAGTTCTTGTCAATGTTTACACGCAGGAATTTGATTTACTTTAACGGAAGGTGGGCTTTTGCATATTATGTTAGAGGAAAAAAAACTCTGTAAGAAATACGGCAGACAAATTTATAAGAAAAAAGATTTTCTTTGCAGCTAGAACAGTTGTTACTTCAGTCTTCCCTTTCTATGTTATATAGCAAAGATAAAAGATATATAGATATCTATATATACACACACATATACATATATATACATATATAGAGATATAGATATAGATATTTTTTTTCTGCCTTTCTGTCACTAACACAGTCCTTTATTTCTGGCCTTTGTTCAAATCTTTGGCCAAATACAGCCTGATGACACATCTCCAAATAGTCCTTTACTACAGGGAAAGGAAATTTATAGCTCCTCACCCTCCAAAGATGACCAGAACCACAGTTCATATTTCACTTAAGTTCTCTCAGGGAGATTAAACCCTGGATTAAAAACAAACATCAGGTTGCCAAGCAGATTACTAGACCATAACAAACAAACAAGAAAGAAAACCAGGCTTTTTGCAAAGTCAGCAGTGAAGCTGAGGAGTAGAAATACTTTGATATTTTCATGAACCATTAACCTTCAAACATAGTTACTGCAGGCACTTAAATTGCACCTGAGGGCTGCACGGTTGGGGAAAATTGCTATGAAACTGGCCTGCAGGGCAAGAACATGGCAGGTAAACAAAAGTAATGTTTGTGGAAAGATTATGGGATACAGGTCAAAGCATAAAAAGCACAGCTTTACGGAGTGGAAGCGCTGTTACTGACAGGAGATTTTGCCACTTTCCACATGCCAGCAAAGGTGATGGTGACTTGTTTGCTGTTGAATGAACAGTAATCGTTGAAGACAGACACTACTGAAACATAAAAAGCTGGATGGTGAGAGAGCATGAAAAAAAATGCTTTCCCCTTTAAAAATGTTCAGTTATAATGTTGAAACCATTTTATTTTAATATCTGAAAAAAATTAAGCTAGATTTACTCTGAACAGTTAAACATCTGCATTCTAGGCTGGGACCTGGGGTTAAAGGGCCAGATGTCTCAGCTGGAAGTCTGTTTTTGGAAGATTCCCAGCCCATTTTTGCAAAATCATGAGTTAAGGAAGAGACAAAAGACAAGCAGCCATAATCTTGTATCATTATAGGCTCCCTATCTCCAGTTTGTAAAATACAGGGGCTGAGACTGTGTGCTGTTTCTTCTTAAAATATGGAGGAAAAAAAAAAAAAAAAAAAAGGACAGGACAATACAAGTTAGAAACCGGCTTTGGATGGCTCTGATGTGTGGACCACAGCAGAATGCAATGTGTTACCCATCGTAATACTGGTATACTTATCTGTATTAGGTCAATGTCTAGCCCCAAGTGATTTCTCCTTCTTCAGGTGTCTGAGGTATAGAAACCCATTTAAATTCTCTGCCCTTCCCTACTCAGCCTGGTTTTTGAAAGGGCACTATCAGCTTAAAAGTGCCCAGACTGTGTATATAAATATAAGAGAAGTATTTGTTAAAGCTAGCATTTCAAGTAATGCAAATCTACTATTAAATCTTTAGCGCGGTGGAAGGGGGCTAGGTCTGTTCTGGGTGTGATTTTCAGAAGTAGCTGTATTGGAAGATCCTGGAGTTGGCAGGCATAGGAAAAACAGTAGAGAACAAGTTTTGAACTGCTACAGTTTCCCCCTGAGCTCTTCTTCTTGGCCTTCCTTTCTTTCTATACCTGAGATAAATTTAGGGAGGGCGTTAGGAATTAGCAGCCCTGGCCTGTGGTACTCGGGGGCACAAGCTATTTGAAAATTAGGTTCTGAAATCTTTAGTGTTTTTGAAAAAGCCTAACTTCTGGTACATCATCTCTTCCCCACCTTCTCTTACTGTTTCAATCTGTTTATAAATACAGAAAAAGAAGTGGTAGTAACTTCCACCCATCTGTAATTTAACCAGTGCTGGTGATTTCTTCTTATCTGCTCGAAGGAAAAAGCCAGTGTGGGCTGAGCCTTCCCTCCCAGCCAGCAGCAATTCTTCTATCCCGTTTGGAATTTCCTGCTCTCTGCCTACTACGCTCTTTACTGCCCCAAAGTGGAGATGTGCCTGGAAGGCGAAGGCGCAGTATAGCTCCACTTCTTACAGAGCAAGGAAAGCAGGGACACATCAGAGCACCACCTCTGAAAATTGAGCGCAGGCCGGATTACAAGGTCTAAAACAGGAGCTCTAGCTTGTAGCTGGGAGGTTTGAGGGCAGGGAGGCAGCACAGAACAAATGAAGGCGTTAGGAAATACTGACTTGCTGTGCAGTCCTGAGCAAGACACATTGCCTCCTTGACTCAATTTCTCCCTCTTAAACAGAGACAATGGGACTAGCTAAGGCTCCTTCCCAGCTTACCTAGTTAATACCTTGCTGTGGAAACAGGAAGACTGTATATATGTTTTAGTGCTGAGCTTACAGAAACAGCTTTCCCCAGTACTCCATTGAACTGAACATAAAGGACGGCTGTTCATGGTAGCCACAGCTCTGTGTGCAAGGTTGCAAGGATAGTGTAGTGTCACTTTGGGTTTGCCCGCATGTCATCTCAGAAATCTGCATGCTCTGGTGACTATGATAATTTTGTGCTTAAAAGCCATTAATGCTTCAATCACAGAGCTGAGCTCAGCGGCTTTTATAGCACCATTCTTGTCTGCCTTCAGCTCTGCAGGGGGCTTTTCTGGCTCCAGGGATCTGTGCATGACAAGAGAAGGGACAGCAGGAAAGACTGGGACTCAGGAAGGTGCACATCTTCCCTACTTTCTCCCCTCCATGGTTTGCAGCATGCAGTTATGAGCAGAGGTTCTGCTTTTGCAGTTTCTGTTCCCATCAAACTGAGTGCCTGAAGAAGGAGGGAGCTAGCACCAAGTTCCTAAGTTGATGGCATTGCTTTGCAGCTTACTATAAAGTAAAGGTAAGCCCCACAAGGTTTCTATTGGGAATATGCTATTAAAATCCTCAGACGCAGGTTAACGTCCTTAACTCTATATTGGTTTTGACCTGCTTGCCCAGCACATGTTTTGGACTGAGTTGCATAAGCCAGCCCTCGCAGGATGCTGCCCGCTTTGAATAACTCACTGCAGTGTGCAGATGCCATTCCCAGGGCAATTGGCACCCTCCAAAAATGTCGTCTCAGGTGACACAAAAGCAGAGTCTCTTTTCAGCTTTGTTTCCAGTGAGAAAACAAGCCAGTCAGTGTGGCTGGTTAGTTCTCATTCTCCTCAGGCTTTCAGATGATTTTGAGCACACAGGAGAAATTAAAATACCTCATATGGGTAACAAACTCTCTCCATCCCTTCAAAGGAAATGTAAATAACATAGTGTTCCCATGACTCCCATATGGTTTGCATGGATGCACGCAGAACAGCATTGCTATGCCTACTGTTTGGCTGGCTGATAGGCCAGCTGGGCTTCTACCATGCGTTTCTACATAGTGAATTATTAATTATAACATGTAAACACGATCACTATTGTATCGTATCACACTACTTTCCGTACACTTTCCTTCCTTTTCCCTCATGTGAACCTCTATTCCTTTTATTCTAGTCCATAAGGTCATTCAGTTACTTTTGTATGATTATTCTGGTCCTCCTGTATTTGAAGATGGCTCCCACATTTGTTTCCCAAGCAGTCTTGCTAGTACGCTTGTGCTGTTCCTGCTGCGATTTAAAAAAAAAAGCTCATTAAATAAGATCTCAGAACTGCAATTCATATTTCAGCACAATGTGCTCCTCTTTAGACAGATTCTTACGCATTTTTTCAGTCTGGTTGTAATCTTCTGATCTCTGTTTTAAGCAAGAGCTTTCCCTGTGGCATCCAATATTTTCCAGAGTTCAGGTAGATAGACCTACTGCATATTCCTTAGGTAGAAAACCTCCAGTTTCCTAACAAGAGATATTACCACTCCTTGTTCCCAGAAACACGTGGTTCTTTACTCACAGCTTCAATGCTTGATCCCCAGCTTGTTTGTTAGGTTGAAAATATGTCATAGGAAACTCAGTCACGTGCTGAAGAGCAGGATAAACCTTCAGAAATATGGTGTTTAGAGGCTATAGACACGAATGTTATCATCTCTTCTACCTCTCAACTTATGAAAATTCTTCCTGAACTCCCATGTCCTATATGGAAGGCAGCAGTAGCTAACCTAGCAAAAGCATGAGATTACAATGGGATCTAAGCATGAGCCTTAACAGGACAGTACGTCTGGTACAGTGTTAGCAAGAAAGGAGTAAACAAAGCAGCCACAGCAAACACACTGTACCGATGGGACAATACTGGAACACTTGTGGGTCAGCTTTCCAGCCCAGCAGGCATGCCTGGAAGCAGTTAGATCATCCAAGAGACTATTTAAACACGGATTTAAGCGCATTCAAATTTCCTCCCCAGAGATTACAGACTGCTGCTGCTTCCCTTTTTGTCTGCAGCAGGTAAGATGTTTCACTGCCTTTGGATTTCTGACTTCAGGGTTAGGATTAGAAACAAGATCTTCTGCAAACCTCACTTTACCTCACCCTTCCCCCCTCCCCCCCCCAAGAGCAAAAAAAAAATTCTTTTTTCCTCTTTGATTTTTCCTTGTATTATTTTTCAGGAAGCTCTGGTGATAAGTTTGTTCTTTGAACAGATATGTCACTGGGAAGCGCTGTTTCTTTGGATCTTTTTCCTTAACAGTTTTACATGGTTCTGTTCACATTTTTTTCCTTTGTCCTTATTCCTAGGATATCTGCTTACAAACAGCATTAGAGAGCTGGGGAGTAGAAGTCAAGTTGGAGGAAAGAAATGGGGCAAGGGATGTGAACTTAGATGGTCTATATATATATCGAGTTCCAAACAGCCTGTTTAAATCTTGCCTAAATTCACGATGACTGAAAAACACACCATTATATAGTAGTTGTTTGGCAGCTTACTACAAATCATTCACCACAGTTCCTACAAAAACCTGCAGCTGCTACTGGCTCTTTCCCTGTCTATGTGATCAAAGAGTGAAATACCTTTTTATTCTCAGCATGATTTGACCGGCTTAGGACTCATCCATGTTGATCAACTATCAACTAGTTGATCAACTATCATCCATGTTGATCAACTATCAACTAGTGAAGTTACCTGCACTGCTCAATTTAGGCCATTTATTTACAGTACTGCATTATTGCACATTGATTAATCATTGGTTGCCTTTTTTGACAAATGTCACTTCTGCAAGACGTAAGTATTTCAGATCAGTCTGAGGGTGGGAAGGAGAGATTTGTTATTTTGCTAATCAGCATCTGCTTTGTCCACTATTTTGTTTCCTGTACTTCAGTAGTACCTTAATTAGAGGACAGTGTGTGTGGGAAATGTATGTGGACTTTGTCACAGTAACATATCTTGCTTGGTGTGGTCTCAGACAGGGTGGGGGTGCTTTAGCAGGGCTGGCCCAAGGCTTTAAGGAAAGAAGAATATTTTACTGACAGCAATTCAAAGTGTAGTAAATTGCAAATGTATCCCTGAGCCAATTTGCTGATAACACTTGTAGCATCTGCACAAGTGTATTTGCCCCCGAGATACTAAACGTACTTTTTGTCATGCTGATAAAGGAGCAGTGGTTAAAGAAACACTTGCAGCTGTGCATGTTTGCGTGTCACGTCTGCATGCAATTCTTTTATCAAATTCATTCCAGACTCACTCCACTGGGGGCCCTTGCGGTAGCTGTTGCCCTTATAAGCTACAGCATATAGATGAGCCAGAAAATGCAGTGGGAACGAGGAGAAATGAGAGAAGAATAGCCATACAGCCTGGTGTTCAGTGCAGCATGTACTCAAATGGTCATTTATAAACGTATTAAGAGACTAAAACAAAACGAATAGTGTGAAGGACGCGGCATACTGCCGATGAGAATCAATCCTCACTTGGAGGAACCATGATTATGTTGAAAGCATGGCTCCAAGACTCCTGACTCACCAAATTTTCTCCCTCCAGCCGCTGGAGTGACCATTCTGATGAGGAAGACAGCCAGCTTGCTACAGACTCTCCTGGGCCCAGTTGTAAGCTAAGCAGGTTCAATGTTGTTGAACTCCTCCGTGTTCATCATCAGCTGACCAACACCTTTGAGCTGCCACACGGCCGAGACCACGGGAATGGTCCCTTACAACCAAGCGCATCCTGTCTCTGACCACAGAAAACTGCGGATCTCTTACTGGAAGGTATAAAAACTTCACTGTCAATATAAATATTCCAACTATTTAATTATACCCCACTTAGTGTTTATGGGATCAGCACCCGAAGTGCTGATTTGCTGATGCCCTTAAGCCTGTGGGACGAATAAGCCTTTTTACTTCTATGCTGAGTAGTGTCATTATGAACACAAGTGAAGCAAAAGCCATTTTTATTGTTTAGGATATGGAAAAGGCTAAGTTAGCATTTCCCCAAACCAGAAGGTCACACTGTTGGGGAATGTGAGGTATATACCACAGACCTGTCCTGATTAGAAGGAAAAAATCTGTATCAGCATAGCCATGCATCTGGAAACTGCTGGGAAACCAGCAACCCACTGGGAAAGGTGTAAATGCAGGAAGGCTGCACAGAGCAAAATCACCCAAGAAACATCTAGCCAACCTGTAGTTTCTACAACTGAGAGATTGAAAGCAGCCAAAACCTGAGATCCACAAGATACATAAATCCAGCTGAAAACAGATGCCTGAATATTTTTGAACCAAGGACTAGCCAAAGCTCCCTGGGAACACAAATCTCGCTGGTTCCTAACAGGCACTGTCTGATTTCTAATTTTTTGTCTTTGAAAAATCATCCTTGTTACCACAGCAAATTCTTGCACAGAGCCCTTTGCAGGCTGGCTGCAGATGTTGGGGGAACAGGCTGGGAGCTTTGGTTGCACTGCCTATTTTCTTTCTTGCGTCTAGCCCAGTTCCAGGCAGTGGCCGGTCATTGTGCTTTTATATTGGTCAGACCCAAACTGAGATGGCTGTAGCCAAGGACTATTACAAGAGGCACTGCCTGGGCAAGCAGACTGCTTCAGTGTGGTAGGCCTACCCACAGCTGCTGGTGCAGGGGGTGCAAGGGTCTACAGATGATTAGGTCATGCGTATTCCTGTTAGCTCATTTTTCTTCTAGGCAACCACAGGCAGCTCTTCCTTTTTCACACAGCTCCTATAATCCTAATCTCAGCATCTCTGTGACAGACTAGCTTCTTGCTGCAATAAGAGGCCAGAGAGCACGGCTTCTTGGAGGTCGGCAGCTGACTTCCACCCAGCTCTGCCGGTGCAGCTCTTTCGTGCCCTGGCGCATCGCAGCTGTTCCTTTTCTCAGCTGAACAGGCACAGATCAGCAGTTTTGCTAGCCATTGAAGCCGGGTGACAGGACCCACGAATATCTATGTGAGATGGGTCTGGGACTGTCACCCAGCTTCTTTTAGGAATGATTGCAATGTGCATTCAGGGCACCAGCAATTAGCAGCTAATGAGATAATTTTAGTCGTTTCTAATGGCACTTGAAAAGCCACTGTCAGGACTATGGCAGAAAATAGCTCTTTTTACTCAGGATTTTTGATCTCTGGGATAACTGATGCTCACTCTTCACAGACTCCTCTGGCACTGATACTTTTTCAGCACCTAACACAGCAATCACAGCTAACACTCTGTTTCTGTCCCTAACCACAACAGGAAATGCTTTGCATACAAGTGGGAACGTTAGTGTTGGCGATACTATGCTAACTTTGCTCTCTAGGGGACAGTCATCAGGGAAAAACCCAGTCCAGGCCTTCAGGAAAATTTCCTAGCAGCTGTTAGACCACCAACACATTGGCATAAGTCTCACAAGAACACTTCTGCCGTGATTGAACAGAGAGCATTACTGTGCCTGCATTAGTGAACTGGAAGAGGGACCAAGTATACTGCCTGCTAGGTCTTTTCCATCTTTCCATTTTAGGAACGCAGCTTATTCCAACATCACAGTTGTCGAGTTAGCAGTTGGGGCAGATGGACTTTACCTTTTTAAGCTCCATATTTTGCCAAAGCCACAATCTGGAATCTGCCTGCAGGGAATATATTTCTTTAAGGAAAAAAAAAATGTTACGGAGGGAGAAGCGATCTCTGTGCTCTTCAGTCAACCCCAGAGGAGACGCTGCCCATTCTATCAGCCTTTTTAGCTGTATTGGTTGCTGCGGCAATGACTTTCTAAACGTAGCCTTATAGAATGCATAGCCTGGCATAGCAGGGAGCTACCATTTGTAAAGCTTCCCAATGGTGGAGAAAAAAAAATCGGAAAGAGAAAGTATGCATTCTCCAGGAATTCCTGATCCTGAAAACATCCAACAATATAAAGTAAAATTTTGCAGTGCAGTGCAGTGCAGTATAAAGTAACATTTTTCTGGTACTAACAGGGAATATGAAGTCGGTCCTCCTCTTTCATTGCCTTCCCATCAGGGAAGCCCTGGCGCCTGAAAAGAAAATACTGAATGAACTAGTACACACAGATAATAACGGAGAGCAAAGCTTTGAAGAGTGAAACACAGACTATTTAACCATACCTGGGATGAAGGAAATAAGGGACACACCCTCAAGGAACAAGTTTATGGTCAAAGCCCTGGGGGTCCAAAGGGGATGTGTGATCTTATGTAGTTCAGCTAATTTGCAGGCAGAAGTTAATCCACTGTTTGTGAGGAGAACTGAAATCCATCCCGGAACACCTATTTAAGGCCTTTACAAAGTAGCTTTTTGCCAGCCATTCCTGGTTCGTGTCCCCTGTGAGGACAATCCCTCCTTACAGGACAATGCTGGCTCTGCAAAATGAATCTCTGCACATAAGTCAGCTGCTGAATGTGCACAGGGTGTTAGTCAGGCTATCTGCCAGAGCGGGAGAGCGGCGGACAGGCGGCTCTGTTAGGGAAGACTTGTCCTCTAAGAAAGAGGGGGGGAAAACAGAAACCAGCACATTTCTTTCTTGCCTCCTTCCCCAAATGCTAGGTCCTAGATGAGGGAAGTCTCACCCGAATGCCTGGCTCCAGATGAGGGGAGGCTCCCCCAAATGCCCAGCCCTGCTGTTCCCACATAGTCTTTCATGGACACCAAATCAGCTTCTCCTCACAGGAACTGCTTCTGTGACTGTTGCTTCCTGGGTGGTGGTTGAACGTAGTCAGACACGCTTCCCCATCTTGTCAAGCCTAAAAGAAGGGCCCATAAAAGTTTCTTTTCCGTTACTGAGCTCCTGCCGTATCATCCACAGGATGCTCACATGTATGGGGTCTCTTTCAACCTCCTCTTTGCTACATCCCCCAAAGAGATGAACCTTCCTTTCTACCTCAGCCAAGACAAAGGATGGGTATAACACTAGAAGCAGCACTGACACTGAGCCTCCGGCCAGGAGTTTCTGTGCAGGTGGCAGGCTATTTCAAAGCACCCATCTCAAAGGCAGGTATCTACCGCAGCTTTACTTTGTTCAGTTTCCTTCCCCGTCATGTTTTGTTTGCTCCCATGAATGCAGAGCCAAGACTTCTGCACAGCCTGCCTGCAGCCACCTCTGTGAGCCTCCCAGTAGTAAACAGGTTCCCACGGGTGTTGCGTGGACTACCAGGAGGGACTATCCCTGTGTGGTACCAAACACTGTATGGTACTCAGTATTGGTTCGTTCTGTTCATTGATACTGTTCTCTTGTAAATATACTGGGTCCATAATTCTGAAAATGGATTTTATCTCATGTGACTGAAGTCCTGGAGAACCTAAAACAGCAGTTAACGTAGGGAGGCAAGATGTAACTCTTATCAATAAAATAGCCACTCCTGCAGTAATAATCTGTAAATTGATGGTTTCAGGTAGACTCCAGCTTGGCACCTACGTGTTGTCTGACTTAAGTGAGCTAGGTGAAGAGAGAGAAATAACAAAGGATAGAGGTGAATAAATGCAGCCTATAAATTAACTATCGCTCTTTCTTCACTGCATGCAGATATCCTCCTTTCCAAGCAAAATTGGAACCGCT